CCCCTGTGGTCTCAGAGAAGAACGGCACCAGACGGCAGCTGATTCAGCCTGTCATCAGGTTGGATCAGTTCTCACCGAAGGAATTGTTGAGCTTAGATGTCTCAAATTGGGACCTCCCAACAGGAACAAGTGTTGCATGCCTGAACGATGTGACATTGCTAGTTAGGTGTTCATGTCTCTATGCTTTGCACAATTTACAGATGTTTGCAGAGTCCACCAATACCTGCCCTATCAGTTCAGCTTGGGATGTGTTTCCTCATGATTCATGATCTTCAAGGAATTTCAAGGATCTCGGGTTCTGGCGGTTGGCCAAAGAGACCCTGGTCAGCAGGAAGGGGACTGGAAGACGAAGAACTGCGCTTTCTATTTGGGAGGTCCGCTTCTAGGTGAAGAACTTTGCGTTTTTTCGTCGAAAAACCCCTCGAAGAATCGACGCGAACGCGTCGAAGTAACACGCCGAGTTCGGCCGGTTGGGAAACCGGCAGCTTTGTGACATGGAGAGGCTTGATTTTCTCAGAAAGATGACATTGTTTGTGACATGAAGAGGTCTCATACAATTAGATCTCATATATGGTGTCAATTTTCAAATGAATTATCGTTTGTGAGCCACTATGGTTTCCTCCACTCCTCAGTTGTCATGGTCCATCCCCTGAAGATGTTGATCAGAGGTGCCTCTACTGTTCACGTTCGTTGCTCCCTTGGTCACTCCGAGTGGGCGACAGATGCGCATGATGCGCGAAGGGAGAAAAGATGAGAAAAGGGATGACTGGGATGAGCCTTTGTTTTCACGTCGTTGGATTGGCTGAGGGCACCAGACAGATTGAGATGTGTACTGTAAACAGGGAGACCCCCCCCAGCCGAGGTTTGGGTCGATGTTCCCTTCTATGTCCCTTCTGGCAGTAGGGTGTTTCCTGGGAGGGCTCCCTAGTTTAAATACGACACCCAGCACCAACTTCCCCGGTGAGGTGCTGGAGGAGTCCCATGGGTCACAGTGAGATGGTTGGAGCTTGGTGACCGTCTTGGAGCGACCGTCCAAGTACTTGGGTGACCGTGGTGATTCTCGAGGAATTGGGTTCGCGTGATGAGAGTCTTCAGGCAGGGTTGTTCTTTCGTCATGCAGTCTTGTGCCAAGTCTTCAGGCATACTGTGGAGTCTTGATAGTGTCATGCCCTTTGTAACGCAAGAAAATAACACAGGGGAAGTTGCAGAATTCACTACGTAAATTAAATGTATCATCCTCATCATCATCGTCATCCTCATCGTCATCAGGATTGGGCACCAGTTTGGTATGATTGAACATCGTCATCCATTCGTACGCCCCGCAGCCACCGATCCCGGTCCGCCCGGGCCGCCCGACCGGAGCGGAGCGGAGCCATGGCGGAAGCCGAGGCACGCGGTGCCTTACAAGCGCGTGGATGAGAGTTGTGTGGGGTGGGCGAATGTTGCATTTGGCACAGCACTATTTTTGGTGGTCTGTCCTATTATATAAACAAGTAAACCACTATGTTTGAACAAGGCCTTTACTAACCATCATCATCCACTGTTGTAGGTATTTGGATAGACCCAAGATATTTTAGTTGAAGCTGCTGTGAGCGGCACTCGTTGATGGAAAGGATTGAAAGGAAGGGAATGGTTGCAAAGATGGAACTATCATGAACAATCTCTATAGGGAAGAACGGAAGACATCAGAAAACATGAAGCACCATGTGATCGTTCACCCAATAATGTTGACAGATGTTGAACCACCCCAGAATATACATACAATATAATTGAATTGTGATAAATATATGTTTGGTACCAATATACGCGCTTCTTCGCTGCTCAGAGTACCACGCTCATGTCAGGTTTCATCTCATGTGCTCGTCACCGAGGAGAAACCGAGGTGCACTCAGACGGTAGGGGCTTGGTGGAAACTCGGGGGGCTCCGATGTTGAAGAAGATCACGCGGCGATCGTTCGATGTTTCGTTTAAACGTTTTCAACGAGTTCACTTATAGCATCATAAACAAATATATATATTTGTGTATATATATAATTGCAGTTATTACACACATACAGATATATTATATACATTAACTCCCCAAATACATATTATATATATATGTGCATAGGAGTGTGCGTGTGTGTGTGTGTCTCACATCAAGGGGCCCGTGTGAAGTACCATTATAGATCTACTTAGGATATATTTAAATCAGGAGCACTGTGTAGGTTTCCCTCTAGGTTTGGAAGGCAGCTTTACTACTTTGACCCAATTCTTTTGATAGGAAGAGGGGTCACGTGAATCAACCTACACACCATCACGAGTTGGAAGGCCCATGGCCCATGTAACTATGGGGTCCCCCTTAATAAACTTCTTCTAGGTCTTCAGCTTCACGAGGATACCTTCTTGCTTAATGGTTCACGTGCTACGGTGCTACGGTATGCTACGGTCCTACGATTGTACATCGGTCATTGCAGTTTGAAGAGCCTGTAATTTTTCTTTAAGATGTAATTATGGTCAGGTTTGGCAGCACCCTGTCTCAAAAAGTTGGAGTTTCTAAGGGCTACAGCGGCTACAGACATCAGGTCCAGATTGTCACCATTGTAGACAGAGTCGGGTCGTGGAAGCCGCGCAGTTGTCACGAACCGCGAACTGAGAAGCTCAAGAACTGGCTGCCGTTGGCTCCCGGAAAACTGGTACGTGGAGCAAAGTTGAACTGGTTCCAGCCAGGGTGAGTGGACCGGTATTGTTGTTGGGGCTGCTAGGTATTGTGCATATTCTATCTACTTGGATGGCATTTTCTCCGCCAGCTTCTGATAGAAGAGTTCTCCTGCACCACTCGAAGGTAAACAGGATCAGTTATTGTCCAAATGGTAGCTTCCAGCGAAACGCCCTCCCAAGATCTCCCAAGCAGGGAGCCGCTGCGAGTTGTTGGAAGACAGCTTTGAACCAAATCATGAAGGACAGCGCCATCGACATGGCGTGGAAGCCCCGAACGACCGGGCAACTACTGTAGTTAGTGGCTGTGATGAGAGACCCGGGTCTGGAACTCTCCCTTCAGCCAAGCCCACGGGCTTCGGGGATGCTGAGGAGCTTCTTAGAGAGCGATGTGACCGAGCTGCCCGCAGGGCGGCACAGAGAGGTGGGTTCAGTGTGCGAGGGGATGGAGGTCATGAAGCCAAGTGAGGCATGAGTTCATTGTTCTATTTTGTCCACAGTCAGGTTTCAGGTCCAAAAGAGTTTGTGGATTCCAGTGTTTGTTTGAAAGAACTTAGATTGTTCGGCTGTGAGCGACCGCCTCAAGCTCCTGACCCCATGCTTTGCCAGAGCCTGATGATGATGGTGATGGTGATGATTATGATAATGATGGTGATGAGAGTGACTCAAAGCACCTGAATGTGTCATTGGAGAGGACCACGCTGATCGACCAGCCCACATTGCTGCGGACTGAGGTTTGGAATGTCCTGTCTCAGAAAATGGAGGAGACTTGGCCGTAGTGAAACGTGAGGGGATGAAGAGGCTGCGAGCGTGGTTGACGAATGCCACGGCATCATGAGGCGTTTCGCATCTATCGATGCCTTGCGCGCAGACCGCTCCGCACGTCTTCTTCCGAACGCGCGTTCTGAGGCGGAAGCCGCGGAGCACACGGCGGCCATTGCGCGTCGGGGGCACCGAGCCACACGAAGCCGCGATCCGCTCCACCGTCGGACGGAAGTCGGAGACCAAGAGCTAAGACACGTGTCGGACGGTGGGATGAACCGTTGGAGACCAAGTTATGAGTGTTGGTTTTGGAATTGTTGGGTGCTGCTGTTGTTGCTGTATGTTACGAAAGCCAGCCTTCGTAGAAGGCGCTAGCGGAGTTGTGTCTGGCGAACGAAGTGAGTAGTTAGGGGGTCTGGGGGGGGTGGCCCGAGAAAGGTACACGTCAACTCGGCACATGCTGGGGGAGGAGGGTGCTCCGAGGGAAGGTTTTTTGAGGTTGTGTTGGAGGTGATTTTTGAGGGGTGGTGATGCAAGAAATGCCAAATGCATCATTTGCATCATCTGAATGGAAAGGTGTAGTTGGCACCTTGCAAGGTATAGAGACCTAGGGTAGCCATAGTGCAGCTACCAGGTATAGTACTTCAAGTTCCCTTTCCGTCAACCGCTTGAGACCCTCTACACACGCACAGCAATCCACAGCTTTGAAGTCTCATTCGTGCTTTGAACTTGTATAGGTGTGTAAGAGGTATAGCAACATAGTATTTATACGGACCCAGGGTAGCTACAAGTAGCTACAGTTCTGTTCCCGGGTATGGCGCGCATGAGGCTTCAAAGCTGTGGTTTTCAAGCTAAATTCAAGGTGGCCTGAGACCAGGGTTTGCTGCCCTAAAACACTCTGTTCAGGCCACCTTGAAAATAAAGGTGTAGTTGGCACCTTGCCAGGTATAGACATCCAGGGTAGCTATGTAGCTGTGGTTTTCAAGCTAAATTCAAGGTGGCCTGAGACCACGGTTTGCTGCCCTAAAACACTCTGTTCAGGCCACCTTGAAAATAAAGGTCTTGTAGCTACAATTCTGTTCCCAGGTATGGCGCGCATGAGGCTTCAAAGCTGTGGTTTTCAAGCTAAATTCAAGGTGGCCTGAGACCAGGGTTTGCTGCCCTAAAACACTCTGTGCAGGCCGCCTTGAAAATAAAGGTGTAGTTGGCACCTTGCCAGGTATAGAGACCCAGGGTAGCTATGTAGCTGTGGTTTTCAAGCTAAATTCAAGGTGGCCTGAGACCAGGGTTTGCTGCCCTGAAACACTCTGTTCAGGCCACCTTGAAAATAGAGGTGTATTTGGCACCTTGCTTGCAGCTACCAGGTATAGTACTTCAAGTTCCCTTTCCGTCAACCGCTCGATAGCCTCTACACACGCGCAGCAATCCACAGCTTTGAAGTCTCATTCGTGCTTTGAACTTGTGTAGGTGTGTAAGAGGTATAGCAACATAGTATTTATACGGACCCAGGCTAGCTTCAGAGCAACATGCAAACGACTATAGGATTAAAACTAAACTAAATAAGCCACCTGCCTGACCTTAGTTTTGGGCACGTTCAAGGGCTGGATTCAATCTTGTGGGCATGCTTCTGCTTGCACCAGAGTGGTCGACTGTGGACACCTGAAGGGGACTCAGGTGAGGATTTGGAAGGTCAGTCAAGGGTCCATATGCAATATGTTTCCATAATCCAACCCTTAGGGTTTATAGGCGGTATGTCTAGGTGCACACTCCCCGAAATAAGCATAGAAGTGGATGGCATATCCCCAACAGGTGGTTTTCCACTTCTATGATTAGTTCAATCGGTGTACACAGTGTACCCCTTGGACTTTTTGGTATCTCCATTGCTCACTGGCCATTTCTGAAGGTCTATCACACTTGTGGGTGCAATGATGAACCGGTGATGTCAATTATCGAGCACCCAGCAACAGTTGGTGAAAACCAGACCATAGGTAGGGTCATGCTCAACCTTAGTGGATCAGATCCAGTGTCAACCTGTAAAGCAAGTCCCGTTCATGTGGCCATGCTGCACTTCCCACACTGAGACCTCCCATTCCATGTCCAACCGGACATTTTTGAAACTAATTCAAACCAAAATTGTAGTTCCTGTAACTCTTGACCTTTGCTCCAAGCATGTTACATTTGACGTTCAGTCCATTTCAGCTCAGTGTTTCAGAGGTGTTTCTTTTTCACGAAAGCTAGCGAAGCTAGCTGGAGTTACTCTTGCGATAGCAAGGTTTCTTTCGACCGGGTGCAAATCCTAACCCCTGATTTTTCAGGTCGAAGACCCCCCCCCCCCTCCTCCTCCCCTCTCCCCTCTCCCCACCCCACCTCCCCTCTCCTCCTCCTTGTCTTCCTCCCACTTCCTCCCACCTTCCCTCCCTCCCTCCCTCCCTCCCTCCCTCCCTCCTCCCTCTTCGTAAGTTCGACTCCGTCCTGTCGTCGCTCTTTGGCATGCGGTTAGCGTTGCGTATCTTGCGGCCGCACTCGCTCACTCTCACTGTCTCACTGTCTGTCTCACTGTCTCACTGTCTCACTGTCTCTCTCTCTCTCTCACTCATCTCTCTCATCTCTCTCATCTCTCTCATCTCTTTCTCATCTCTCTCATCTCTCTCTCCTCTCTCTCTCTCTCTCTCCTCTCTGTCTCTCGTCTTTCCGTCTCTCTTCTCTCTCTTCTCTCGCAGGAGGATCCGGGCAAAGAGCCACATATAAAGGACTCTTCACCCCTGCCTCCAAAAAGAGCGCCGTGTTTTTTCCTACCTCGCTGCCCTCCACTTTCCCATTCTGGAGCGCTAGCTTTCGCCCCCCCCCCTTGGCCTCAAGTTGGATCAAGGAATCAAGCAATGGACAATGAGTAAAGCAAGCTGGGGTGCTCTTGATGTGCAACACAGTGGATGCAGTGTACCATCCGCACTTGGCAAAGCACAAAAAACAACTGCACAGACAGTGGAAATAACATCGGATTCCATCCAAACCCCCCCTGTGCAGAGGAAATTTCCGGGCAAAATGACACCGAATCCCTCAATTGCCAGGAAGCGCAGGTTTTTGTTTTGACATGGTTACCTCTGTGTGGGCAGAACAAGACATGAAGCAGATTTGACACGCGGCCGCAAGCAGCTGCGCGAGCTCATTTGCTTGCTTCGACGCGCAGTTGTCGAGAAAGGGAAGCGCTGGCTTTCGTTTTGCAGCTTCTCAGGTTGCTGTTCTTGTTGAGTGGCGTGCTTTTCCTTAATGTTTTGGCCATGCTAGGGCACAGTATGTCACTCCTCATCCAAGCGTACCTCCCAAATAGATCCAAATAGCATCAAATAGCATCAAATAGCTATGTTCCATAGGTTTTGCGCCTTTTATGTTTTTTCTCATTGGCATTCTTGGTTGCATCAATTTCCACTGGTTTTCCGCACGGCATTCCCAGTGATGTGGTGTGGCCCCCTGAGGGGCCGCGGCTGGCACGACACACATTGCCCAGGATTGAGCACCTTGATCGAAGAGGCAGAGACAGATGAGCATGGCTACAATATGGATAGAGAGGATGCGAAATGACTCATTTTGGGGGATGCATCCTATGGACTCACTCTACTAGTAGCGGGCTGCTTGTTCGATGGATGGACCGGTTTGAGAAGAGTATCATGGGAGATGTTGCCCGGATAGACCTGGGGAGTCTTATGTGTTATTGAGACAACATGGGTGTGTATTTAAAGATAGGGACCTCCAACCCATGGCTTTTGGTGTTTTCCTTTTCGAGTGGCTTTGTAAAAGAGGTCTCCCTATTTCAGTATATGATGAATATGTCCTCATGAGCTCTCCCGGTCCTATTTGTATATTTCATCCATCTTCCAGTCTGGTGGTGCATTGGCTTCACCAATTGGTCCCCTATGTTGAAAGTGACAAGAGCTCGCTGGCGACTTAGCTGAGGTTTTGAACAGTACACCCGGGAAGAGACCCACATGGAACCTGATGGCATGGACCAGACTGGAAGACGATTTTCCTCTACAACCCAGTGGTTGGTTAGGTTCCATGTTAACCTTTCCCGGGTATATGTTTTGTACCGGTGTTGGGATCAACGCTCACCAGCCGGCCGCACGTGTTGCCGCCGGCGAGGCGATCACCCGACTCAATGAACGGATCGACTCGGTGTCGCAGGCAGAGGGGCCGGTGATGAAGCCATCCTTTGACGCCTTTGTGCCATGACATGGGTTCCCCAATGGAATCGGGAGAAGAGACCAAGGGGAACTCATCAGGTTTCCCAGAATCAGCTGAAGAGGTTCTTGGTATGAAGATGTTTTAAGGGAGAAGAGGCTTGTACTGTTGATTATCTCCATCCCCGCACTTTGCAAAAGGGAATCGCATTTGGGTGTGTCTTTTGTGATAGGGAGTCGCCAATCAATGGATGTTTGTTTGCTTCCTTTCTTCCAGAGGGTCAAACTGGGAGGCCTCCCTATTTATATAAATGCACGCCCATTTGGTCCCTCTGAAGCGAGCTTCACGAGTTGCAAATTCCACTCAGCCCTTCGGCCCTTAGGGTCTAGGGGTCTTTGGTTTGGGGTTGCAGCCTCTAGTCGGGCCAGCATGTTTGTCGCCAAAGGCCGCGGCCGAAGGCCTCTACCTAGGTAGGGGGGGAACCGCCGACCCACTCCCATTCTTTTTGATTTGATGAACCTCGCAGGCCACTGGGGAGAGCATTCACAGATGCATTTTTGTGACATGGGGTTCGATGGATCAACATAAAAAGGGGTGTACCCCTAATGGCATCAACATAGCCATTTTCAAGTGCCAGTGGTGCGAGATATGCTGCACGTGGGGCCTAGCAATATTGGCATATGTTTGCTTCTTCTTCTTCTTCTTCTTCTTCTTCTTCTTCTTCTTCTTCTTCAACAACATGGATAGATTGAAGGATGATGCATGCACGGATGGACGTAGCCAGGAGCAGCACGTAGCCGAGTGGCCTTGCATTATTCGGCTTTGGTGCTTATCCGAGCGCGTCTTCTTTTCGTGTTGCTTCTGCTTGTTGTGCTTCTTGTGCTCTTTGAGGCGGCAGCAACAACAACAACAACAACAGCCCTACGACCACAACAACACAGAGTCACGACCACACCTGCTCCAACTGCAAGCAGCCACCACAACTTCACCACCGTACTCACCACCAGCCACAACGTGTCTTTATCGCCCATGAACAGGGGACATGTCTGACCCTACGCAGCAGTGATGGGGAAGTTGATAACCTGACTGTCAGAAGGTAGTCCAGGTATGCTCAATCACTGCCGGGATTCCTTCCACACTCCGCGGCATAGCGTTTCTGACTGAATCCATCGCAGACAATGTCCGTACGGGATTCAGCGACACACAGTTTGTCACTATACCCTGTATAACTCAACTCCGGAAGGCTTAATGTTCGATGAACGTTGTATAGTTTTACAATCACCTCAGTGGGAAGTGGGAAGGCACCTTTTTGCCAGCCCTAGCCCGGTTCTAGCAAGGAACCCGTGGGAAGTCTGCGGGGTCTACAACCCAACTTCAAGGAAACACCAGGGATTCCTATTCTTCTGGCAAACTAAGATTTTGCCACTGTTGCCCAGTAACAGAACATGGAGACAAGGTGAACGAACAGGCCCGATGGCTACATTTAAGTTCAGGAAGCGGAAGCAGAGCCACCCCGGCCAACCCAAATCCGCAGTTCTTCTGAATCCACCTCTGGTAAGTTGGTGTCAACGATTTTGAATACGAATTGTATTTAAAAAAGCCATGGACAGACAGATCGATGATCTCCTTGATCAGATGTTTCTTTCACACCTTTTCAAAACCAGGGCCGGCCGGAGGAGACTGGGCCATGGCCTCAGCGGCGTCAGGGCTGTGCAGCTCCTCACAGAGTCTAAGAACTCGCAGCCGGAATTTAGGGTAGAGCTCCCTGAAGTGGAGGTTTCAAAGGGGCAGGTCGTAGCATATATAGGTTCTCGACTTCGCGAGGATGTTCCGCGAAGTCATTCAGGCCCACTGCGTCGGCCCTCGAGGAGCTTCGTCGAAACATGGCCAGGTGCGGAGATGGTGTGGAGGGAAGACAGTCGGGGAAGATCCATCGCCCAGAGAACTGTGGTTTTTGGGGTGAGACGCAATACGTTGGGGTTTGAATTATAGGTTTTCAGAGAGCGGCTTGCGGTTTGGGCCTAAGTATGAATAAGGAACCCGCTTTTCAAAAGAACTTGGTTCGTTGATGCAGCTGTGGCGAGTGATATACACAGCGTATTGCAGCTCCCGATCAGGCATCATGCGCTTGTTCTTTTCAAAGTATTTTTCTAGAAGTTCCCGTTTCTGCGCAGTGCAAGAACATGCCAGATCCCTTGGCCGCCGATTCTACAATCTTCCATTTTACCAATGGATTGTTTCCTACTACGAATCCATCAAAATTCCCACTTGCCAAGTTCAATGGCCCAAAGTTGCCACAAACTAGATACTGTTCATTGTCCGCATTTGCGCTTTGTTTGCCTTGTAGTGCACACTGTTGGGCGCCTACTGTGTGCAAACCATCAATTCCATCAAAGTCTGGACTGAGTAAGGGCAGGATTTTCCATGAACAGGACTTGGGAAGAAGATTGAAGAGCATGATCGCCAGTATCCTTTTCAATTCCCAGGCCCTGCAGAGGATTTTCAAGATTGTTTCCCTCTACTGCACCGTGATCCTAATGTATGCAATATATAGTCAAAGCAACCGCCCCTGTTGCAGTGATACTGTTGATGGACAAAATCCTGCACCACTTTGCGCACACTTTTCTTGCTGCCCTCGTTCTCCCTCGTTAACATTGTGGCCACCACAGTGAGAAAACAAAAACAAGTTGAAGGTCCAAAATCCTGCACCACCTCCTCAGAGGGGTCGCGCCAACATTGAATGAGGGGGCACGGGGGTTGCTATGCGACCCTTCCAGGGTAAAGTGGTGAGGTGGTGCAGGATTTTGTCCATCAACAGTACCCGACACAGGGTTGCGCCAAGCAAACAGCGGTGGGCCAACAAACTTGTGGAGGACTACATGGCAACACAGTGCTCCACAGTGCCCGGACAGTGCTCCAACAGTGCTCCAGACAGTACCCGCGCACCAAAGCACTGTAAATACTGTGGGTATGGCCACAGGAGTGGTAAATGAATCAATAAAAAGCCTAGAATTCTAAATTTCTATCGTTTTGCATTGCTACTGCCCGAATCGCTGGTATTTTCCATGTTTTTGACTTCCGAGCACTGTTTTGAGCACTGTCAGAGCACTGTCCGAGCACTGTGGAGCACTGTGTACTTCCCC